ATAGTGAATCGGTTTTGTATTTATTAAATTGAAGAAATCTTGTCATTACTGCTGTTAATAAATTGCTTAGCTTAAATTACTACAATTACTAGAATCGATTCGATTTGATACGATTCAATGCTCTTAGAAAAGTAGATAAATATGCATTTATAGTTTTTATTAAGGAATTTTAAGTGGTTTGATAGGTATTTTGACGAAAAAACTATTGTTAGATTGCTATTGTCATTAATTATGACCATCGTTTCACTAGAAAAGATCGTCAATTGTTTTTTCTTGATCATTAGACCAAATCATTATACGAGGTGATTTATTAAACTAACATCACGGAAGTCTTCCAACACACTATGTCATGATTTTATAGCATTGGGCAATAACTTTTAAGGTCTTCAGCAATTGCCCAGTGGTCCAAACCCGGCTACGCCACTGTTCAAAAATCAGTAATAAATCATATTTATTTTAGAAAAACCGTCATTTATCGACATATTTGAGTAAAAATATCTATTTCATGACATTATTAAAAAGGATAAGGCAGACATCTTTGAATAACATGAAAGGAATATTGATGATAGTAAAAGGGAGAAATCCAAGAGAAAAATTTTCCTTCAAATATTATTTATAATTGATTTCCTAGTTCGTTCTTGTTTAATTATATTATGCCATTTGAGGTATGTTCTTGTACAATTTATGTTATTATGAAATGTAAAATCATAAATAAATGTATTTCTCTAGATGACTTCCAATGAAATATATTGACAACCTTTTTATTGATATTCTGATAGAAGAATTTATATTAAAATGAAAATTATTCTAATTTCCACTGCAAAGAAATAATATTGCGTGAACGTTTGATCATATAGTCAGTAAGTAATTTTTCAGAATCGATCATTTTTTGTAATTTGCGGATCTCTTCATCGTTTCTATTGTAAGTATTCAGCTGTAATAAATAGAGATGAGGAATATGTGTAAAAGTTTGCATCAAAATAAATCGCACAAGCCTCTCAAGATCCATATCTACTGGCTGACCCACATTGAGATATTCAATTCGAGGACAAAGAACGATAAGAAGTTGCATCTGTTCAAAGTTCCTCGATTGCCAAACTTTAGTAATTTTGTTACTATTTGATACTAGACGAAGACTTTCTGCATCTTCAGTGGATAAACTATTGAGTTGTAGAGGTGGTAAACATGTCACTCTCAACGAATCAAGATTTGGTAAAAGATGTATAAGTTTGAGAAATGTGGAAAAGGGTACTTTTAGAAAGCACACATACAAACTGCTAACTTGAACTGCAATTAATATAGGATTAAGCTTGTCAGTTATTGATATATTTGACTCCACACAATTGTGATCCCAGACAGAAAGTTCAATAGTTTGAGAAAATTGAATGGAAGGATTGTTACTCTTCTGTGAAAGAGGACCAACAGTGTATGATGTTAACTTATAATATGTATTTGAATTAGAATGTGTAAGCACATCTGCATTTTCATCCAACCTGCACCAGAGTTTACTGGAAAAAAAAAATTATCAATATATTAATAACAAAAGATTATTCTTCGATATACCGATTCGACTTAATTGAATAAAATATTTTTCCAGAATTAAAGGCAAGTCCAAACACCCATCCATGATTAATCCAAAATTGAGAATTGAACTGTGTGAGGAATTTATCGAAATAGATATCTTTAAAATTATCATCAACATTTATCAGACATTGTACAGTAAACTCCAACAAATGAGGCATGTATTGTAAAATTAATGATTTCCATCGATCAGGATCAATATAATTCACATTACACAATCTCCAGATATTCAAAACTTTTAATTGATCACATATCTTTTTCATGAATTTTTCAAATTCATCAAACTCTATAACACATTCAGCAATGAAACATATGTCAAATTGGGTAGTGTTAATGATATTTCGTTATCCATGTCGTCATATGATTCCAATAAATCTCCACAAGACAGATGGCGTAGTCGGGGTATGTGATAGAGAATCGACGTAAGTTCATTGACAGTACAATTATGTGTCATAATTAAATATTCTATAGTACTAAATCGTTCATTAATAGCAAAAGGCACCAAAGCTGTTAATTCATTATCTTCAGGTAATGTCAGACAGTTATATTTTAAGGAAGACAGCTGGAATAGCATCCGATATATTTTTCCTAGATCGTAAAAATAATCATCTTCAAGAAATACGGTCAATGAGAAGAGATGAGGGAGAGGATTTAAATAGAAAAGAAGTTCCATAAATTTATCCGATGAGATTTGGTTGAATTTAACTGATTGAAGACGATTGAATGATGAATCAATGACACATTGTTCAAAAAACTCATTAATGCATGATAAATCAAAAAAATCAAACGAAATTATTCGATGTCTGTTGGGAATGATAACACTGTTACAGCTATCTTTTATCTCTGCTCGAAAGTGATCGGAAAATTTAATTTTAAGTAAGAGTGATGACGAAGTGATAAGACGCTGAAAACGATTATTAAGATTAGAAAATGCTTTATAAATACAGCAACCATCGAGATAATCAAAAATTTCATAAAAAACTTCATTTGATAAATTTTCGATTGTAGTGATTAATATCCTTCAAAAATAAGAAAGATATAAAACATTAAGGCAACTTTTTGTTGCTTACTTTTCATTTTGTGATATTGCTGATGACATGGAAAAAATTCAAAAGGAAGAAAGTGATTAAGTTTATGGATGTAAAATGTAACTTACTCCTTTGTTTCTTTATTTCTACGTCGAAAGGTTCCATGAAACTCGATTGTCGTTTTACTTGATTTATGTTTATTTGAAAATTGGACATGATGGAAAAATTTTTGTCACTATAAAATACATTGAATACATTTTCATATCATTTTTTTCATTTCATATATATATATCATCTTACCTGAAGCAAACAGAACGGCAAATAAACGTGACTATTATAGACCCAAATGCTTCTCCATGTGATAAGAATAAGTAATATACCTGTACTTCCTTTTTTATGTCAAATATTTTCTATGAATCATTAGATATTTGAAAATAAGTCATAAACAAGTAAAGCTGTATCGAATGAAAATAACATAAACGTCCATCTACAATTTCAAATAATAAAAGCACGCCATCTGTTTCATCCATTTGTGCTAGTAGTACATGATATTTATTCATATTTGATTTTTGTTTGGTTTGATCCATATTTATTTAAAAATTACATAAGCTTGAGAAGTCTGTTTCGTTTTTTTGTAGAGTTTACATGTAATTATCTTTTGATCTTTTGTTGCTAGCTGCATTTGTATTTATTGTTTTCGGCCACCCTTCATCTATAATTGTTGGCTTATTATTGATGCACAAGCTTCTTGTCCATATACTTGATATAATTGTTTTCTCTTTGCTGTTAGACATACGCAATGAGAAGCTTTGATTTAGTAAAAATTTTTTAAAAACTGTGTTTGCAGTAGAATGATGGTTCAAAGCATTCAACTTCTTTTTTAATGAATACTTAAATAATATCAATGGACTAACATTTATGTGGTAGTCATCCAATATCATGGATGTTAACTTTTTAAAACTATTTAATTAGTTATAAATCTTACTCTTAGAAAAAAGCAAGCCTTGATGAATTCAAACATTTTCTTAGTAAATATGTTACAAAGATAAATATGAATCTTGTAAACATTCGTGGAATCTCTATAAAAAAAAACTTACTTGAGGGTGGGTCTAGGTGTGAGTGTGGGTGTTGGTGTGGGTCTTATTTTCACCCACACCCACGCCCTGTTCTTTTATACGGCTATGATTTTCAATCATCTCTACATCGTCGGAATTAAAGACTTTAATATCATTGTAGTTACTCTTAACTTGTGGCTTGTATTTTCAGAGCACTTTCCTTTACATAACTGCTGTTATTTAAGTGTTTACCTTAAATTACTACAATTACTACAGTCGGTTTCATTCTATACGATTCAACGCACTCAACAAAGTAAATACATATGCATTTATGATTTCTATTAGGAAACTTTAAGCAGCTCGACGAGTATTTTGACAAAAAAAAATATTCTTACATTGCTATTTTCATGAATAATGACGGCCCATGTCGCTAAAACCGGTCTAAAACCGCCGGTTAACCGCGGTTAACCATCCGGTTAACTGGGCGCTTAACCGTTCGGTTAACTGGAGTTAACCGCGGTTAACCGGCGGTTCTTTTTCATGATATATTTTTATTTCTCACTGGATGAGTATTTTTTAACTCTTAGAAAATTGTCAGATTTGAGTCGAAATCGCGCTTCCCTATATTTGTAAACACGCTGAAGCCGCCGGTACTAGCCACATCGGCTAATTTTGCTTAATTTACGAGTTTGAATATTTCATTAAAGATGCCGCTAGAAAAATTACAATAAGTTAGAACATTAACCAATAGAAAAATTTGTAGTGTCATCTAAAAAAATGTACTAAAAGAGACTTAAATTGTTTTTTTTTGAGTAAAAAATGATGTTCTTAGAAAGACCAATATTAATTTTATCAAAAAATCGGTCGAAAACTGATGAAAAACAAATGAACCGGTCGAACCGGCGGTTTTTTCACAAACCGCGGTTAACCGACGGTTTTAATAAAAAAGAAGCGACATGGGGGTCGATTCACTAGAAAAGATTGTCAATTGGTTTTTTTTGTCGACCATTTGATTAAATCACTATAGGAGGCAATTTATTAAAATAACATTACTGAAGTCTTAGAACATTGTATATCATGATTTTATAGCATTTGGCAATTGCCCAATATCCCAAGCCTGGCTACGCCACTGTTGTATTTATTTCATATTCACCTCTATTTGATCGTTTATCTACTTATTTCTATTCAAGTTCTACTGAACAAATTAAACCATAAGTTAAAGAATTTTTTGATAATGCACGAATAGTTCAACAATTATTATATACAAGTGTAGCAAATCTAGAACGTGTACCAACAAGTATACCGCATGAAGATTTATGTTATGGAGCTTGGCTAGATTTTAATTTATGTATAATGCATACAGAAATAATATGAAATAAATTATATGAGTTAAAAAATAATCAACAATTATAACGGAGTAGAGAACGTGTTAAATACTTAGAAGGAAAATTAACACAACTTTAATCAAAAAATATTTACATATAATTCTTTCGAAATTACTATAGATATATGAATAACTCTTCATATATGGTATTCTGTATTTTGCATTTCTTTTTTATAGTAAACATTTAGGATAAAAAATTTTGTGAAACATGATCTAAGAGAAGTGTTGAAGTGTATAAGGTAGAAATTTGGGCCCACTCCCGCAGACTGTGACAGAGAAAACCCATACCCATCACAGACCGTGACAGAGAAACCTAGTACCCATCACCGATCGTGACAGAGGGCTCCAAAGACCATCACAGACTGTGACAGAGAAATCCAATACCCATCACAGACTGTGACAGAGGGGCTCCAAAGACCATCACAGATCGTGACAGAGAAATCCAGTACCCATCACAGACCGTGACAGAGACAACCCATACCCATCACAGACTGTGACAGAGAAATCCAATACCCATCGCAGACTGTGACAGAGGGGCTCCAAAGACCATCACAGACCGTGACAGAGAAAATCCAAATTCTTTCATTCACAATATAAAAAAGCTTCATCGTGTTTCACATTTTTAATCCCGTAGGAATTGCGCTGAAAGCTTTTTTACGTACAATTTGATGAGATGATTCGAAAGATCAATTTAATTTTCCTATTTATCGATATAAAAGATTACGAAAGCAATTTATTCAGTTCAGTATTCTAATTATTGAAGATAATTTATTACTATACAGTGAAATAACCAGGATTTTTCTGCTTTTATACCATATCTATGTGAATTTTTCATAGAAGTCTCCTCACACCCACACCCACCCCACACCCACACCCACACACCCACACCTACACCCCACCCACACCCTCAAGATAGCCACACCCACAGCCTTGGCAGGAATGTCTGACGTTCTGTTGGTGACTTGTACAGACGTGCACATGGTAAACCTTCATAACATGCATTTATATATAATATATGTATGACTAGCAGTTTCTATCTTGTCATCGTCTTTTCGAAGATATTGACAAGGGTGGTACATGTCATACATCCATAAATGTATGTTTGTCTTACCATTGCTGACTTTGTCCGCTGTACGAGCCAACAGAATACGGAGGGTATTCTTGGTCGCGCGTGCACGAACTTGTGCAGCTGCTCGCTTCGGCGTGCTAAGAATTTAAAATGGCTGGTTTATTTTCTCATTTCAAAATAAAAAAATTACATTTTCTTCTTTAAATTTTCGACATTTCTTTGAGTCTTTGCAACGTGTGGATGCGTTGGCGGGAGAGTTTCTCTGAATATATCACGTGCTCTTTCAAGAAATGAGAGTGCTTTTGAGTATTCTCTCATCTGTTCATACAGTATACCAATGTTACCATACAACATAGCCAAGCTGGGATGATTCGGAGGGAGAGCTATTTTCTTGATTTCAAGTGCTCGTTCGTACGATGAAAGTGCTTTCGAGTACTCGCCCATGTTATCATACACCATACCGATGTTGTTATAGGAACTAGCCAAGTCGGGATGATTCGGAGGGAGAGCTTTTTTTTGCATTTCAAGTGATCGTTCGAACGATGAAAGTGCTTTCGAATACACGCCCATGTTAAGATACACAATACCGATGTTGTTGGAGGAACCAGCCAAGTCGGGATGATTCGGAGGGAGAGCTATTTTCGCGATTTCCAGTGCTCGTTCGAGCATCGAAAGTGCTTTCGAGTACTCGCCCGTGTTACAATACACTCCACCGATGTTGTTGAAAGAACCAGCCAACTCGGGATGATTCGGAGGGAGAGCTATTTTCCGAATTTCAAGTGATCGTTCGTACGATGTAAGTGCTTTCGAGTACTCACCCATCTTATGATACACATTACCCATGTTGTTGTAGGATTGAGCCTGGTCGGGATGATTTGGAGGAAGAGCTATTTTTCGGATTTCAAGTGCTCGTTCGTACGACGTAAGTGCCTTCGAGTACTGGCCCATGTTATCATACACATTACCGATGTTGTTGCAGGACTGAGCCAAGTCGGGATGATTTGGAGGGAGAGCTATTTTCCGAATTTCAAGTGATCGTTCATACGATGAAAGTGCTTTCGAGTACTCGCCCATGCTATGATACACGTTACCGATGTTGTTGTTGGAAGAAGCCAACTCGGGATGATCCGAAGGGAGAGCTATTTTCTGAATTTCGAGTGCTCGTTCGTACGATATAAGTGCTTTCGAGTACTCGCCCATGTTATCATACACCAGACCGATGTTTCCATAGGAAGAGGCCAAGCTGGGATGATTCGGAGGGAGAGCTATTTTTTTGATTTCAAGTGATCGTTCGTACGATGAAAGTGCTTTCGAGTGCTCGCCCATGTTATAATACACCATACCGATGTTGTTATAGGAACTAGCCAAGTCGGGATGATTCGGAGGGAGAGTTTTCTTGTAGATATCCAATGATTTTTCGTAATATGAAAGTGCTCTCGAATAGTCACCCATGCTATCATATATCCAGCCAAGGTGATGATTGTATACTGCCTTATCTAGATTAGAAGTTGTTTTTGCGAGCAGGACCTGGTAGACTTGTTCTGATTTTGGGTAGTCACCCAGTTTCAAAAGTATGAAACCTAATGTATCCCATCCTGTTTTCTTCTTGAACTCTTCTCGCAGGTGTGCCGTGAGTTTATTAAATTCGTTATCCTGATTACCAACGAGAATGAGATTAACTTGCCATAGACGATCACTATGTTTATCCTCAATCCGTTCGATACGGTCAATTCGGAAAATTGTATGTGTTGAAAAGAGTAGTTCTTCCTCTTTATTTTTGTAGTAACCAACTTGGCTTACTTCGGCAAATGGTGTTGATGATTTTTTGCAAATATCCGTGTCAGTATTGATAACGAAGAGAATACCAACTGAATTGGGATTCTTTGTAGCTGGTCGTGCAAATCTTTCTAGAGAAATATTACGATTGCGACTTGTCGACAAGAAGTTATTGAAGGACATAAGTCCTCCTTTCGTTTTTTTCATTTTTTCAAAATCTTCCAAGGACAAACCTTGTCCTCGAAAGACTTGAAAATGTTTTGGCGTGTTTTTTTCTTGTTGACGATGTAATTCTGTAATATGATTATGTAAATGGCGAATGAAGAAACCCATCTTCAGGATAATATCAACATCCATTTGCCGAAGACCATAATTGAGCATTGAGTAGATAAAATATGGACCCGTGTACCACCAAATGGGTGAATGATCTCGATACTCTCGCTCGATCTTTTCAATAGTTGTTTTGGAAACATCCTTTTGAGTGCGACAGTATTCAGTAAATTCTTTAATTGATTTTTCATCATCATCTTGTATATCTAAAAGTGCTTCTTTTAACAATTGTGTATACATAAATAACGGATCAATACGATTAAAACTAATTGGGACCATATTTTGATCACAGTTTCTTCGATCAATTTGTAATGCGTCACAAATCGGTTCAATTTGCGTATATACACCTTTTATCTTAGGTATTGTTTTAATCCATTCCTCCTGAATCAATTGATTGTTACATAAAACATAAATGTAAGTTAAATATGGGCACTCTTGAATTACTGGTATTACATGGTGTCCTAGCACATCCGACACAATCATGAATACTTTTTCATCGTGAATATCAGTGAGAAAGTCAATACATTTGTCAACATCTGTAAATGTGACGACTATTTCTACACTATTTTGTAAATGTTGTATTGATTTATTATAATCGTCCTTCGTTTCATCAATATTCGCATCTAGCCAGATGAGAAGAAAGTTTTGTATAACCCGGCGAACGGGTCGAGACAGTGCAGTACTTCTGCTCACTAGTGTTGTCGCTTCTGCTGCTGCTGATGATGATGATTTAATCGGCTTACTTGTTGTAGATGATGAGCTACTAGTCATTGGTTCAGAGTTTTTCTTGTCCATTATAATGATACTAACAATGAAAGTGATAGTGTTTTCATCTTTTTTCAAATTAAGCAAACGATTGGAAATTTATATAGTTGTTGTACGCTGTAATAATCGACAAAACAAAAATATTTCGTCTCTGTCTCTAAATATATTTCGATATTTTTTTCTCTTTATGTTAATGTTTTGATTTTTGCTTGGTTGGTTGCTATCGACTTCAAGGATTGCTCATCTCAAGCATTCTTTTCTTTCTTTTAAAAATGCTGCTGACAAAATTTTACAGGTAAAATTTGTTTACATGCATCTAACATGAGGCAAGGAAGAAAAAGAACGGAACAAAAAAGAATTGCATTATCGTTATTTATAATAGAAAAAAAAATGTTTAAATTCTATTTATACATTTTTTGTTCTTTCCTACTGTTTTTTTTCTTTTAGTTGCCTTAGGTTTTATAAGAAAAGGATGATGGACTGCAATGTCTTGTCAATCGATAATAGCTTCTACTATTGCCAACAGGATGTGGGTGTAGGTCGGTATCTGTGTATAGAGGTAACTTTTGCCTCCAACCACACACACATCATCACTCATTAATTTGTAGACAAAACTTTCCTTCAATTCATTTATTACTAATGAGCTCAGGAAAAACATTTGATTTTAAAACTCCCATACTCATATAAGATCTATCATTTTATTTTAGCTAAACAATTTCTAACAGTTGTAAATGATTTTTGTCAATTATTAATTCTAGATGAAACTATACATTGTCTTGATACAATTTGAGGATGTGGGTGCCGGTGTGGGTGTGCGTGTGGGGTGTGGGTGTGGAAAGAGAAGAACCAAATCCACACCCACACCCACACCCACACTCACACCCACACCCCACCCACACCCACACTCACTCCCACCCCCCCCCCACACCCACCCCCACCCACACCCACACCCTCCCACACCCAGCCACACACCCACACCCACACACCCACACCCACACACCCACACCCACACCCTCACACCCACACCCACCCACACCCAATTGTTGATTCAGCGATTCTAGATATTTTTCAAAAATTTTTTGATGATTTTCAGCTGAATTAAATAACCTTATTCTTCTTATAAATCTCTTTATATAGTGATATCAAACGAAGAGAAAAATGAATTTCATTATATAAATATCAACCAAATGAAATAAACTTTGATAAAGACAAGAAATAATCAATATGATAATCATTATTATTTCATTTGTTCTTCTTATAGTAAAGTTTGAATTACTAAGCGTTACTATAAAGCTTACTTGGCTGTTGAGTAGTAGTGGTAGCTGTTGCTGAAGTTGATGTTGATATTGTTGTCACTTTTGCTGGTAGTGATGATGTGATAGCAATTGTGTTAGTTTCCGGTATACTTGGTGCAAGAATAACAAATTTTAACACCAGAGAGAGAGAGTAACTGTAAATATTGTTAAAACAATAAAAGATATACAGATAATCTTAACCCAACGATGATGATACCATTTGCATGGTTGAATATTTTTAGTATTATCTTCACTATGTAACTGGTTGAAATGTATATTATGTTCTTCAAGAAACTTCAACTCAAAACAAAAAAGAACGACCTATTATTCCAAACTACATCATATATGTCTATCACTCTCACAGTAATAATAAAAGATAAATAATATTATCTTCAGCACAAAAAGTATTACTATACTCATATCTCGATGTAATAAATTTTTACATGTAACTATGATATGCCGCAAAATTGTGTTTTAATTAGTAATTTTCGATTGAAATGTAAACAAAGTATGAAGAAAGAAAACAAAATATTGAGTGAAACTGAGACAAAATTATCAGAAAAGTGAAAAGAAATAATTAAAACATGAGAAATAAATAAAATTCGTTCGCTGTTGTATGTTTGATAGAACAGATATGTTTTTCAATTAAAATTGTACAACTTTATGAAAAAGTAAGATAATTTGTATAAATTTTATTAATAAATTGATTGAAAAAATTGAATATAATAAATCAATTATCGCTCAACATATAGCTACACAAAAAAATGAACTTAACTTTAAAAGTAAAATTTCATTGATATAGGATAAAAAGATGACGCTATAAACATGAATAGACTACGTATGTATAGACGTAGGCAAACGTATTTCGATGACTAACACATCTTGTTTGATTGTGAAATTACATGATGTATAAAAACAAGTATTGCACCATTTAGCTTTCGTCTTTTGCAATCCAATATGTTTTTCAGAGTGAGTAATATTTTGATCTGTTTATAATTAAAGATATTCATGCTACAACGATATTTTATTTTCGAAGTTACTTCGTGTGTTATTTGGCATTGGAGGAAATTCAGAATTGTCTCAAGAATTTCAAAGTAAGTCAAACTATTTTCTAACTTGTTTACTCCTTGTTGTTATTGACCGTGTGAATGGACTGATCAAGATGTTAGATTATAAATTAGACTATTCATCAGAAGTTGAAATTTTTACTTATCTTAGAATTGAACAGTTAGTAACTTGATGTAGCAATATGGGTTGAATGAAAATGTTCTCGAAGTTAGATAGATAGAGATTTCCAGAATTTTGACGAATACCGTGCGAAGTAAGAGGATTAATAACTTCCGCTCCTTTATACAATCGATTCAAAAATTATTGGTCATAAAATAAAACGAATTACACATTATCGAATCGGATTCAGTGATTGAAATATGAATGCTATTCTTTGAATTGATAACATTTGAGAAGAACATTTTACCTATGTTTAGAAATGCATCTTGTTATCGCACCTGTCAAGACAAAATTGATGTCTTCATTCACTGTTCCAAGTGAACCATTCTCGATTGATATAGATCCGAGGTCTACTTTCAAGCAAGTCAAAGAGAAAATTGCACAACAGATCAATATACCTTTAAGCGATCAATTTTTAAGTTGTGATGGTCGAATACTTGAAGATGACCATGTTCTCGGATTGTACGATAATATCAAGAATGGAAGTACACTTTGGATGGTGATATCCTCCGGAGATTTTCGTCAAACATACCGTGTATTTGTTTCAGTTTATACTACTAACGATGATGAGAAGCGTGAAATCTTCGAATTAGATATTTTCTACAATGACACCGTGGCTCAAGTCAAGTATGCAGTTTATAAACGAACGGGTATACCCATGGAAAAACAAACAATTATTTTTGCTGGCAAACAGCTTGAGGATAACCGAGTCTTCTCGAATTATGGAGTTCAAAAGGAAAGCACTGTACATTTAATCATTAAGAAAGACATGTAAAGTTGAATAAAATTGTTCTTATTTTTATTCATACAAGAAACTATCTTGACGGTGCATATCTGCAGAAATCAAACATGAAACTTGGAATTATCGGTATCATATGAACTTTCCAACTCACAATATAGAAATGGTGACTGTTGAATGCGTGCCCGCCAAGCATGTTTCCATTTGCCAATGTAATACTTCCAGTTGAATGCATGTTATGCATGATATTTGACCTGCCCTTGCTATGTCTTTATTATCCTTTCCTTTCATGTCTGTGCCAAGGAATACATTATTCATATGTGACAGGGATAAGTGACTGTTCTTCAAACTACAAATATCCTTAAGGATCACGTAATTACAAGACAGACATTACTTCTGAGGACGAGCGTAATTGGATTCGTAACAGGCGATGAATGTCCTTCCTTATGGCACAATGTTAAAGAGCGCGCGGCGACGTTAATAGATGTACGTCAAGCGTCAACTGTTCTTTTATGAGATAGGCCAACGAAGGTAACACTCTAACGTGAGAAGGTTAATAGAGTTCGCTTGAACAACAGACGTCCTTGTATTACACTCCTCTTATCCTCGTCGAGTAATGTGTAATTATCTTTTGTATCGTTCCTCTCTCTTCTTTCTCGTTACAGTGTTCCTCTTTCTTCTCTTTCTTTATAGCGCTCCTCTCTCTTTATTCTTGTTTGGATCGTCTTCCTCCTTCCGCTTTTCTGGATTGGTTCCCTCTCATCTTTCTTCTCTATATCATTTTCTTTCTCTCTCTCGCTTTGTCTCTTCGTTTTGTCTCCCCGAGAAAAAAAAAAGATGTGTGTGGGTGTGGGTGTTAGTGCGGTTGTACTTCTCACTGACATCCACGCCCACACTCACATCCACACCTACACCCACACCTCACACCCACACCCAAATTTTGTCTCCCACATTTCGGTCGGATCTAGTATCGGATCGATTCATCTGGGTTTATATAGAATTGTTTTTTCTTCTATTGATGATACGTACATAGCCTGTTGTCTTTTAATCTTACTTTGAAGTCCACTTTTGTCCAGTTCATTTCATTCGAACTCTTTGATCATTACTAAGTCAACTACAGACTAGAAGCATAAGAAGCGAGGGGGACACAGCTGACTTATGACTTAAATGGTGTAAATGACTTTGCATGACTTTAATGACTTTTTTGACTTAAATGATCTGAAAGATTGGAAATCGTTATAATTTTTCTTTAT